CGCGGCCTGCCGCCCGCCGCCCCCTCCCCCACCACAGCGGAGCGGAGGGGGGTGACACACAGTGCCCCCCCCCTTCCGTGGCACCCCCAGGCTGCAGGGGAGAGGCAGGCCCCGGGTGGGGAGGCTCCCATTAGTCACCCCTGGCAAGCGCTTGGAGGTTGGGGCTGGGATTTTTTGATCGTAATGTGCACTTTCCTCAAGGGTGGGCATAGGCGGGCGGTGGGGGAGGCAGAGATGTACCTGGAAAGATTAGGCCGTGTGAGATCAGGTGGCTCGGGGGGTTGCAAGGCCCCGTACAGAGCAGAGGGCGCTGGGGGCTTCGCTCCGGGGACCCCGGGACTCCCGCCCCAACCCGTGCCCGCTTTGCGGCCGGTCTGCCTTCCCCACCCCTGCCCACGGACCTGGAGAGCGAGGGTGCAAGATGACAAAGCAGCAGAGGGGAAAGCAAGGCGACGAACTTTAGCTAAGCCACAGGAGGCCCAGGGCGAGGGAGCAGCTGACAGAAGGGAGCTAGGGCGAGCGAACAAGTCCGACTGCTCAGGAACGTGCCGGCAGAAGGCCTAAAGGCGACAAGAGTGTGCATGCCAGGCAAGGAAAGCAGACCCCATTGCCTTGGGTGCACTCCTCTTATGGTAGTGCCACACACGGGACAGACTCAGCGAGCCCGACAGACCGAAAGGGGCTCTGCCTGCCACGCTCTGCCTTCCAGGACCAGGACGGGCTGTTAGGACCAGGCTGTACTCCTACCAAGTGCCCAGGCTGCCCTGCTTGACTACACTGCTCTGCAGCCACAGAGGTGCAGACACGGCCTCGAAGTCAAGACTGGAGCGGGGGCTCGTTCTGTGTAAGGGTATCGCCACTCAGCTCTGTTTCCATCTTGAAATGGCTCTGTGTATTGTTTCTCTTCCCCATCCCACTGCACCCAAAGATTTCAGGCTGCTGACACCCCACCACGTGCTGTGATGACTGGTATAATCATTACTGCCTGGCACCTTCTATGCATCTTTGGACTTTTACCTCTCACCACCACCATCATACTTTGCTCTCTGTAGCACCTTTAAAGGGACAAGACTAGCTGAGAAAAACAATCAGTCTGGAAAACTGATTCCCCCCCAGAAACAGTGGAGATCAGAGGAAGAAAAACAAAGCTTAAAACAGGATTGTTAAAACTGGGAAAATGTGCTGTGGGGCATAGGCTTGGTGAGGAAACGGAGAGCAGACCCTAGAGAGAAACTGCTTCCTAAATCATTTCCCCCCAAAACGGCTGGATTTAAAGTCCCTGGCATCTTCTAAAGCAGGAGGCTCTTGAGCTCTATTAGGTTGCTAATTCTGCCAGGGGTGTTACCGTACCCATTTGACATGCGGAGAAACTGAGGCACAGCCCGGCCGGGATTTGCTCAAGGCCCCAAAAGAAGTCAGTGGCAAAGGCGGGAATAAAAGCAGGATTCCTGATTTCCAGGCCTGCGCTTTGTCGTTGCTCAGCTACGCGCCATCACCCCGAAATGTGTGTGGTGAAAACAGTCCCGGAGAAGGCACATTATTGACCGTGTCTTCAGCGGTGGAGAGGGAACAATCCCTAGAGACTCCACTCTTGTTTGCTGAGCTCCAGCCCTCCCAGGAAGAGCGGGGAAAGTTCAGCCAGTGGAAGACCCTGCCTGTTTCTTTTTTGCCTGGATACCCAAGTATGTCAATAAAGGAAATCTGCTCAATCTAGGGCAGCTCGGAGGGAAAATGGAGTATCCAGGACAAGTCCAGAGACACCGCGCTACCCCAGGGAGGTGTACAGTTTCACACAGGCGACAGGCAGGCTTTCATCAGATCTTCCACGTCTTCCTCAGACGGAGGAGGCGGGGGTGGCGGCTGGCTGCGTGGTGGGATGGAAGAGAATCGCTGTAACATGATTTTATGTCTGCGATTGCATAACAAAGCCCCCTGGGAGCCTCCCAGTTCAAATGCATACCTAGCTCTGATTTGGAGTGTGGAGGTGCTTTCAGGCCCATTGATTGATTGCCGGCAGATAGGGAGAGGAGAACGGCCCGGCTGGAGTCAGAACCAGGGTCAGTCGAGAGCCAACCCAAGGTGACAGAGGCTCTGTGTAAGGGTACCGAACATCCCAGAGGAAGAAACCCATCAGCGGGCAGAACCAACCCCCCTCTCCCAGGAAAGCCTCAGTGCAACCCCAGTGACTTAGATTTAAATCTCCCAAATGTGACGTTGCAGAGCCCTTCCAGAACGTGTTGTTTAGCATTAACGGTAAGAATTGGGCATTCTTGTTCTCTCTGTAAATGTCCAATTACTCTTTGAATCTTGATAAATGCTTGGCCTCAACACAAGCCAAGCAACAGCTGATAAAAGTCTACGATTCTGGATTAATTCTGAGCGCTGAACTACCTTTGGCATAAAGGAATGCGTTTGCTGAAGGGATGAGTGAAACAAGGAAGAGATGAGTTATGTTTTTAGGCCTGGCTTTTGCCTATGTTGGCTTAATTTGTCAGAGTTCCCTTCCAGCGGGCCCTGCACCCCCACCCCAGAAGCTGGGAGTGAAGTGCACAATACGTTCCCTTCCACACTTTGCATTCATTCTTAATGGTCTTTCTGCACATCGGGGCCTTCTTAATTGGTGACAATTGGAAGTGGATAATTCTCTGCCTGCAAGGTTGCAATTGCTTCCATTTGGCCAAGATTCAAGTGCTGGGGTGAGTCATAATGGGTGGCAAAATTGTCTTTCCCTCAATTCCCCTTCTTGCTGGAGGGGAAACCCCCCCAACCCTGAATTATTCTCTTTTATGAGGTGGGCATTGTGAGGCCAGGCAATTGAATTTACAACAGCTTTGAGTATCAGAGTCTATCTGGCCCTGTCAATGAGAGTAGGGGGGAAAAAAAGACACACATTAACCCTCAGCTCTGCGTTCCCAGGCATTTCAATAGGATCCCAAACTTCCAAAAGAGCCCGCTGCATACACGATGAGACCCTTTATACCTTTTAATTACCCTCCCACACAATAGGGACAGACTCTTTTGCTTCTTTGCTAGGCAAGATAGTAACTTTTGCACTCCCCTCCCCACAACCCCCTTTAAAAAAAAAATAAAGGGCAGGGGGGGATAAAGTTTTATAGGGGATCTTATTTCAATGAACTCCCTCAAAACAGGTAATGAGAGCAGCATGTTTCTGTGTGTAGGGAGAAGGTGCCTCATTGGATTAGTGGAGCAATTTTGCAAATGAAACCCTGTTCCTTTGAAGCAGATTTTGAGAGATCTTGAGGCCCTGTTAATAGCAGCCAAACTCAGATAAGGAACATCCTTTTCATCCATCTCCTGGCTAGGCTTAGTTAAAGTATCACACACATTGTTCCTCACCGCTGCACAGGGCTTTGCCTATGCGGGCATCTCTTACCCCTATCCCCCTTTCTACCCCACAAATGAAAAGAGGGAGAGAGTTATATTTCAAAGAGTTTATTTGTTCAAACACCTGCAACTTTTTGGAAGTCTCTGACACATGCATACACTCACACATTCATGCACACATGCGCACACACACACACGCACACACATCCAACCAACGAGATACAAACAACTTTGGCATTATTCTTCTTGCAAATATTTGATACAAAACTATTTCTTTTTTTTAAAAAAAAACAAAAAAAACCAAACAAACCAAACCAAACCAAGTCTTTTCCAAATAAAAGCATTTTTCAAGGAGTAAAAATAAAAGTAGAGATCCCAACCTCTGGAAACAATAAATAGAGACTTTGTACTCAAGTCCTTTTTTTTTTTTTTTTCCTCCCTCCTTTTCTTTTTCTCTCAAATTTGCTTTAAAAAACCAAGCAAGGTTCCATACAACGGAACCAACCAAGACAGTTTTTGGGGGGCATTGCTTTACACAAGTCACCATGGTCTCCAGACGGATTCACTGCGCTCCCCAATGGGGCTCCCAGTTTGGGATACTGGAGCTAAGCTTCCCCCAAAGGATGTTAACCCCTGTACTGGGGATGCCGACGGGGTGGCTGCTGTGTTCCCTGGGCCGCTGCCTCCAGACACAGGGGCATTGGCATTGGCGTAGAGGGGGATGACGGGTCCAGCGCCGGGAGGGAAAGCAGGGTTAGGGATGAGGAATGCGAACTGGCCATCCGTGGCTGGGACCAGCTGGAAGCCCCCGTAGACCTTGGGGGACAGGGCTTCGGCGGGGTTCAGTTTGCAGGGCACGGGCACCGGTCCAGCGGCAGCAGCAGCTGGGGGCAGCTGAACATGCAGAGGTTGCGCCAGATGTGCGGGCTGGCCAGCTGGCGGCGGAGGTGGGGGTGGATAATTCATAGCCACGATCTGGCCCAGGCAAGCCGAGAGATGGCTGAGCAGGCGAGTGCGCACATCCGTGTTCACCCCTTCACAGGTGGAGAGGAACCGGGTCACCTCGTTCATGCACTCATTAAATCCAGCTCGGTACTTGCCAAGGACGGTGGGGTCAGCACTCAGGGCAGCTGTAAAGGGTGAGGGCAAAGGTTAGCCACGGGGAAGGGTCTGCCGCCAAGCCCAGAGCCCCTCAGCAGCCTGCTGCAGGTTGCTCATTTCCTCCGCTAGCTGGAACCCCCCGAGGCAGCAGACGGAGGGACGCATGGCAGCATGTGCTGGCAGCAGCTGCTGTCCCGGGGGTGCTCAGCACCCACACGCCACCACTCACGCAACACCTGGCTTCTCCCCCCACGCGCTCACCTGTCATCTGAGCCCGCTGCAGGTTCCGCAGGTGCTTCACCGTCATCTCCAGGATGTCTGCCTTCTCCAGCTTGGAGTGCCTGGAGCTCTGGCAAAGGGGGAGCAAAGGGGGAGGTCAGGACGGGTGTCTGCCCTCTTGCCAAGCACTCCCTCTCACTCCTCTGCTCCCCCCCCACACCTCGCCACCCGGCTTTGTTGCAGACCCCCAGACCTCAACTTACATCTTTTTTCAAGGCATCCAGAATGAGGGTCTTGAGCTGCCCCAGGCTCTCATTGATCCTGGCGCGGCGCCGCTTCTCCATGATAGGCTTGGAGGACTGGAGAGGAGGGAAGAAACAGGAGGGATGAGCACATTTGCTCCCATCCCTCACTTCACCGCTCCCCACGTGCACGCACGGATGCACCGGCTGGCCTCTTGCTGCCCGTGCCCGACTGATGCCCCCCACCACGCACTACCCGCCTGCCATTCCCCCCGCCATATCGCCTGCGCATCCCCCACGCGCGATCCTCCGCAGCCCAGGTGAGCTGCCCGGTGCCAGTCCCCTCCATGCCAATCCCCGACGCTCCAGTCTAGCTGCATTACAAGGCACGGCCAGACGCTGCCCCGTGGCACCTCGCGGGGCGCCTCCGCCTCCCCAGCAGTCACCCCTCCTGCACCCTGGTGAAGAGGTGCCATTTACCTTGCGGTGCTCGCTGGCACTCTTGGGCTTGTCCGGCGTCTGGCTGGAACTAGCCGGGGCCCCTGCAATGGGAGAGGCTGTCGGTTTCTCCATGGTATCAGCGGGCATTTTGGTTTTGTGGGTTTTGGTGGCTCTTTTTAAACCCGGGGATTCAAAGCACAAGAACCTTGGCCCGGTGGGATCTGGTCTGCTGGCTTTTTTGCCTGTCCCCAACTGTATCCTTTGGATCCAGCCCAGCGCCGGCGCCTGGCTCTGCAATGCCCCAGCACACGCCACGCCAGGCGGCCGCTCGCCTGCCTCGCCCTGCCGCCGCCGGGGCTGGGACTGCGCCTGCTGCCGGCGCTGCCCGGACCCCCCTCGCCTTTATAGCCGGCGGCTGCTCCCAATTCGTGTGAAACCTTCTCTGCATTCTTTCCCACACTCTCGCCAGCCAATCCGAGCCGGGACTCACCCCACCGGGCAGCCAGCCCGCCCGCCGATTGGCCGCCGCCCCCGCGAGCTGTCAGTCACGCGCTGGGCTTCCCAAAAAAAAAAAAAAAAAAAAAAGATCCACCCGCGGAACAGAGAAGCCAGCCAGGAGCGTGGGGTGGGGGCGTGGAGCAGGGAGAGGAGCTCACAAGAGCTCCCCCACCCACCGGGGGGAGAGGATGCAGAGTCCAGATGTGGGTGGGGAGGAGGGGAGACGAGATTTCTTCCCTTCCACCAGCCTGATCCCCCCGCGGGGGCCCGCTGCCGCCCAGGTGCGTGGGGAGAAGGGCGCCCCCCTCCCTCCAGCTGTTGCCCCCCCCCT